ATGGCGGAACATCACCTTGAAGGGTCGAACCTGTTCCGTGCCAAGAAGACCTGTCGACAGATGAAGTGGAATCCTCTTTTCCAGAGTGCTTTACCGTCCCCAGGTGGAGGCACTCACGGAGGAGTTGGGGCTGCTGTACAGCCCAGATTGTGTATACGGAAGTTCCTGATTCAAGCTAAGGGTGCAGTCCAAGTTGGAGCAGGTAATTGTTGGTTCTTCCTTGAGATGCGTCTGAAGTCATGCACGGTTGCAGTAGGTGTGATCTACCTCATTCCTTCCATTGGAGTCTCTGGTGAGAATTCTTCTCGGCTTCGTGCGGTTGCTGAGTTTGTTCGTGGGCTGTCTATTCCGTGGTTCCTGATGGGGGACTACAATATGTCTGCTGATTTCCTGGAAGATTCGGGTATCTTGGAGCTCATGAACGCTAGGGCCCTGGTTCCCAAAAATGTTGAGTTCACGTGTTCGATTGGTGAGACTTTGATTGACTATGTTGTCTGTTCGAATCGGTTGTCTGGATATCTGCGAGTCTCCGCCGACCTCCTGTCCCCGTTCAAGACCCATGCGTGCCTGGACGTGTTGTTGGACCTTGAGGCTATGGTGGAACCCGTCTGTCTCTGTGTGAAGCCCCTGGAGATCCCTGAAGCCTATGGACCTGATAACCATTGGTTGAGTTACATGGCTGCCGCCGCTCCCAGTTTCCTCGAGGCCCCCTTGGTGATGCCCGGTGACCTCCACAACGCGATGCCCGCTCATACTTTGGAAGGTTTGTCTCGAAGTCTTGGGATACAGTACTCTACCTGGTCTAGAGCGATGGAGCTCCGTGATCTGTCTCGTGCATGTGCCATTGTCACTGACACGCACCGTTACATAGGCAGGGGTTGTATGCTGAAGCGTAAGGACTCGTCCCTGATGACTCGCAACGTGCAGGCGCAGAGTTTCATGAACCCTGACTTGTCCTATTGGTCTCTTGTTTCTAGTCGCCTGTATGAGTTGATGAAGTTGACTCGAAAGGCTCCGTATTCTCAGGCCGCGATACAGCACAGGCGCGTCTTGGCTGATTTGTCGTGCCACATTTTTTCTCACATCGAGCCTCTTGCGAGTTCTCAAGCAGCTGTGTCGTGGAAGGATTGCTTGAACCAACCTCCCTACGTGTGTCATAGATTGGAAGAACTCGTTGAGGCTGCAGGTGTTGTGTGTGCTCGTGCATGGTCTCTCGCACATGCCAAGGCCAGGAGCAGCATGCGCACTTGGTTGCAGTCATCCCCGAGGTGCTAGCCCCGTCCATCGCTATTTGAAAGCTGAGGAAAAAGTTTGCGTTGAGTATTTCCTGACTCCTGATGGTATCGTGGACACCCCAACCTCGATGATGAGTTTTCGGGAACGGAAGTGGAGTAGATGGTGGACCCCAAACTCTGAACAGCGTGTGTGTCTGGAGGCAGGCCTTCGAGAGCTTCGTTCGCAAGCATTGGTCGTTCTGCAGGATTTGGACCCACTGGAAGTGCAAGATATTGCTAAGGCCTGTACTTGTTTCAAGCCACACACGTCGCTAGGCGTCGACATGCTGGCGCCACGCAGTTTGCTCTCTGCTCCCATTGACTCCCTCGAAGTGTTCACAGGTATCATGCGTCAAGTTGAGCAAACGTTGAGCTTTCCTCCTCAGTGCTATGTCTGCCTCATGGCCATGCTGCCTAAGTCCATTTGTGATGAGCGTGCCATTGTCAAGTGCCCCAGTCTTTACAGAATCTACTGCAAAGCCCGCGGCTTTGATATTGATGATTGGAATAAGGAGCATCTGGATTTCTGGGACTCTGCTGTCAAAGGGTCCTCTGTTCTTAAGGCTGCTTTATTTCGTGAACTGGCCCATGAAGTGGCCCGTGCTTGTGGGTTCGAATCTTGTGCGCTCCATTGGGACCTCGAGAAGTTCTTCGACTCCGTTAGCCCCTGCAAGCTCCTCCACTTTGCCACCAACCGTGGGTGCCCTGGGCACCTCTTGTATACGGGGCTCCTCATTCACACTGCTCCGAGGCTGTTGGAGGTTTCTGGCAACCTGTCTCGGGTGATTGAGGCTGGGGAGTCTATCCTGGCGGGCTGTAGTCAGAGTATGCCCTGGGTGAAGTGCTACTTGTACGGGGTACTGGAGAGGGCCCATAGCAGGGTTCCACAGGGCCTTGGTGATCTCCCACAGGTCCGCGTTCCCATTAGGTCTTATGTTGACGACATCACCCAGTACTTGCAGGGTACTCGAGAGTTTATTCGTCGTTATTTGCCGCCTGCGGCGGCGGCTTTCCAGCAGGATATATCAGGTCTTGGCTGTGTGGTCAGCCCGAAGTCTCTTGCCGTTGCCTCGTCTGTGGAGTTGCAGCGACTCCTTCAATATGAGTTTAAGAAGCATGGAGTTTCCATCACTTTCTCGCCCAGTGTGAAAGACCTGGGCACAGTCACCTCAGCTGGCCGAAGGCGCACTGCTTGGAAATCATATGAAAGACGTGCTATCGCTTTCCGACGTGGTCGTAAGCTGTCCCACCTTGCAAGGTTGTGTGGAGCTTCGCGTAAGGTCTTCAAGCCTGGCATCCTCTCAGTGGGCTCTTGGGGGCATGCTATGTCTGGACTTCCACCTGGAATATTGAAGCAGTTTAGAGGCTCCGCGGCTTCCTGT